CCCCCAAGTCCTTCTCCTCAGGGCTGCTCTCCAGCCATTCTCCACCCAACCTCTATTTGTTCCTGAGGTTGCCACGTCCCAGGTACAGGACCCTGCACTTGGCTTGGTTAAACTTAATGAGATTTGCATGAGCCCACCTCTCCACCCTGTCCAGGTCCCTCTGGATGGCATCCCTTCCCTCCAGCGTGTCGACTGCACCACTGAGTTTGGTGTCATTGCCAAACTTGCTGAGGGTGCACTCTGTCCCACTGTCCATGTCTCCAACAAAGATGATGAACAGCACTGGTCCCAGTACGGACCCCTGAGGAACACCACTCGTCACTGGCTGCCAATTGGACATTGAGCCGTTGACCACCACCCTTTGGGTGCAGCCGTCCAGCCAGCTCCTTATCCACCGAGTGGTGCTCCAAGCCCCATCCAGCCTGGCCTTGAACCCCTCCAGGGATGGGGCAGCCACAGCTTCTCTGGGCAACCTCTTCCAGTGTCTCACCACCCTCACAGCAAAGAATTTCTTTCTGGTATCTCATCTAAATCTCCCCTCTTTCAATTTAAAACCATTACCCCTTGTCCTGTCACTACGCTCTCTGACAGAGTCCCTCCCCAGATCCCCAGGTGGGGTCTCACCAGAGCAGAGCAGAGGGGCAGAATCACCTCCCTTGACCTGCTGGCCACACTTCTCCTGATGCAGCCCAGGATGGGGTTGGCTTTCTGGGCTGCCAGTGCACACTGCTGGCTCATGTTGAGCTTCTCATCCACCAACACCCCCAAGTCCTTCTCCTCAGGGCTGCTCTCCAGCCATTCTCTGCCCAACCTGTATTTGTGCCTGGGATTGCCCTGATCCAGGTGCAGGACCTGGCACTTGGCTTGGTTGACCTTCATGCAGTTTGCACGAGCCCACCTCTCAAGCCAGTCCAGGTCCCTCTGGATGGCATCCCTTCCCTCCAGCGTGTCAACCGCACCACCGAGTTTGATGTCATCGGCAAACTTGCTGAGGGTGCACTCTATCCCACTGTCCATGTCTCCAACAAAGATGATGAACAGCACTGGTCCCAGTACGGACCCCTGAGGAACACCACTCGTCACTGGCTGCCAATTGGACATTGAGCCATTGACCACCACCCGTTGGGTGCAGCCGTCCAGCCAGCTCCTTATCCACCGAGTGGTCCATCCGTCGAATCCATTAGTTTCTAATTTTGAGACCAGGATGCTGTGCGGGACAGTGTCGAACGCTTTGCATCAGTCCAGGTAGAGGACATCTGTTGCTCTGCCCTTGCCCACCAAGCATGAGGCAGTATCATAAAAGGCCACCAAATTTGTCAGGCACAATTTGCCCTTGGTGAAGACATGTTGGCTGTCTCCAATCACATCCTTATTTTCCATGTGCCTTAGCAGAGATTCCAGGAGGATCTGCTCCATGATCTTGCCAGGTACAGAGGCGAGACTGACTGGCCTGTAGTTCCCTGGGTCTTCTTTTTTTCCTTTCTTGAATATCGGGGTTACGTTCCCCTTTTTCCAGTCTGCAGGAACTTTGCCAGACTGCCATGATTTCTCAAATTTGATGGAAAGCGGCTTAGCAACTTCATCCACCAGCTCCCTCAGGACCCGTGGATGGATTTCATCAGGTCCCATGGACTTATGCACCTTCAGGTTCCTTAAGAGGTCATGATGCAGCTGCTGGTATGCTCAGTTGCACAAAAGTGTTGGAAGGCCTTGGGACAAGGAATAAAATGGGATCTTGTCCTCAGCCAGCTGTCTGAGCTCACCTTCCCCGTCTTTGCTCACTCCTTCGATGTTCACATAAGCAGATCTTTGCTTAGTCACCAAAATGAGCTGTGGAAAGCCAGGATCCAACTGGCATGGGGACCTCCTGTTAAACTGGAAGCAGAAGCTCTGACAGCCTCCTACGCATTGGAGAACAAAGAAAAGGCAAAAGGTGTTTCTTTTTGTAGGAAGAGAATTGCTTTCTATCTTTTGTCTCCCTGTTGTTGTCCTCCCTGTCCATACAGAGGATAAATTCTCAAAAATATGAAAGTATGACCATGCCATATAGTATAGCTAATTGTACTTTCTAACAAGCACTATCAAGCAGGTTTTTTAAAAAATCAGCTATCTGAATGATACTTCTCAAAACATTTCTTGGCAACGGACTCTTTTTTAGTTCTAGCAATACATTCCCTCTCCACATCATGCTCTGGCCCAGAAAGAACCTGCTCTTAATCCCCAAAAGAACGGTAACGGAGCCTGGTGTACCAGTAATTGCTGGAGCCAGATTTCTTGGAAGTAACTCTGGCACCTAACCAGCACTGGTGCATACGTCATACTTGGCATGCCATAAACTGACATATGTCTGTTTATATAGGTGTGAGAACTGGACAGGGTGAGCAGGACCTGAGGAGGCGGCCAGAGGGGTAATCCCCGGAGGAAGGAGGGGATGGGGCAGTTTCCCTGTCCCCGCTTAGCGAGCGATGACCCAGAGCTTTGGAAGCCTCAAGACAGGACAGACGTGGTGCCCTAATCCAGCCTGGGCAATCAGAGGGGCTGGGTGTGGAAGTAATTGCAGGGAATTACATTAAATACATACAGGATTATGGTTTGTTTGTTTTGCTTGTAGCTTCTGTTTTCCAGTCCCGTAAGTAAAGACTGGAAACCAAATCCCATCTTTAATTGGATTGGTCTAAAGGTCAAACCTCAAGTCACACTGCAGAAACTCCAGTCTTGTTTTACCATGGAGACTGACTGGTGGTGTTGAGTTAAATAAATCCAACAAGGTAAGATACTCAGTCTTGCCAGGGCCTGAGGGATACCTCCCGTCCAGTTACAGAAGTCAAAGAGGGATGAAAGGGCTTGTGCAGTTACACGCTGACTTTTGGGACAATACTGAATACCCCAGCATCACCAAATACCTTGAATCACTGAATGCCTTCTGGCATGTCTTCTTCAAACAAACAAATGCCCAAGTGACCTGGCAAAACCAAGCCTTCCCTGTCTGAAACAAAGAAGCTGACAATTAAATTCACACTTAACTGTCATTACAGATATATCCCAAGTTTCTTTAATGATCCCTGTGTCAGTGACTCATGCAATACCGTGTAGAGGCAAGGAGAGGAATTGGACACGGGTTTCCTGAAGCTGAGGATAGGTCTCTAATTATCAGGAGCTTTACGGATTAGAAAGCCAGAAGGCAACCTTGTGATTAGCTATTCTCTCTTCCTGCAGAACATGGGCTGTAGACACTGCCTGAATTAATTCCTTTCTGAATTATCAGGAGTTGTCATATTTTTCAGTTCACAGACCCCTACAAATTTTTCAACAGTAATGCAGACTGCTGTAAAGTCTAAGCTTCCTGACAACATGCAGTTTTATCCTAGTTACCATTTGTTATTGCTGGCAGGTAATCCATTAAAATGGGCTGAAAACTCCTGAATTAAAGATATTCTGAAAGAACTGCTGAGCTTGATTTAAACATTAGAAAACTCACCACAACTTTTGGCAAATGATTTTGACAGCTGATTACCCTCACTTCAACATATATAATAATATAGGTATATATAGCCTGTTGTTGTTTGTTGTTTTTTTAACTGTGGTATTCAGACAACATAATTTATGATTTCCATGATTTATCTGAAGTGTCCAGAATGGTGGCTACATATGGAACACATATATATCACCCCAGAGAAGAAGCTCAGGTGTAAGAAGAAAAAGTATGATTTTATATATATATTTATGGAGAAATATAAATCATACTGGTCCTACTGCATATGTGAAAATGCAACCATATGCTAAAGTCTCCTGATGATGACAATGAAAGATTCAAGGTATTTCCAACTACAAGTTTTCTATTTTAAAATTAAAAAAAAAAAACTAAATAAAGTGAAAACCTAAAAATATTAACAAACTTGAACATGATTTCACAAAAACAAATGCTCATAAAAATTTGTTACTAACACTGTGAAAACAGCTAGTACGTTACCTGTAAGATTACAGGTTTTGTAGCCTGCTCTGGTTAATTCATATGGAGAACAACTACCAGAGAAGCAGGTTTTCTCAGGAATTAGTTGCAGGCCCACCACCACGCACAAAAAGTCCCAACAAACAAAATCATTGCTGAGGAAATGTCCAAGGGTACCCTGGAAATCCTTACGAGCACTGAGGACAGACACACATGGAAGGTTCTGAACCATGTTCAAATATGCAAGGGGAGTAAAAAAGGGAGGACAGGAAAAAGATCTAACATGGTCTTGTGATCTCTACTCCATGAGGACAGAGAAAGGAAGTTGCTTAACAGCTGGAGATTGATTGTGAAAAAGACAACAAAGACTCTGGAGAAAAGTTACACCAAAACTGGTGTAAGAATGTGGAAATATTCCTTACATTTACAGACTATAAGAACTTCATTCATTCACTTCTGCAAAAAAAAGTTAGAGATGAATGTGGTAAAACGTACCCAAGTCATTAAAGTAACGATGAAATTTCATAATCCAGTAACATGAGAAGTGGGGAGA